TTACCTGTAAACAATATTGAGACGCGTTAACTCTCTCTGTAGATGTGCTGTTCATTAGTTCCAGACACCAAGGCAGACCGACGTGTTTCATAACGAACTTAGTTCGACTGAAATTGTTTTCGCATAACTCGCCTACAATACGAATCGCGCTGCAGATCACTCCCTCGTTCTTTTCTTCTTTCACAAGTTGAACGATTTTGGATACACCTTCCTTTTTGAAGATCTCCTCGGCACCAGTTTCGTCACGTGCGAGCACAAGCAAATTATTCATAGCAATTTCACGTTCCTTTTCACTTGAGTTCACGTCAAATGCTAGATCCAGCATTTCTGATACCTAATACAGAGCAAAATTAAGCGTATACTTAAATATAACAATCTGCAATAAAAATTTAAATAATTGTGGCATTATATTTGTATGATGTAATTTTTACCCGTATAGTGTGCAGACAATTAATTAACAAGAATTAATAATTATATAATAAAAGAGACAAAAACTCAAATCTATTTGTCAAATTATATGTGATATTGAGTGAAACAAAAACTCTTAATAATACATCCAATACGAAAAATGTGTTACAATTATTATTTTATCTAAATTAAATTATCATGTCTTGACGAATTTTTGTAATAGTTACATATATTTACCTTAGGACTAGTATGTGAGTTTTCCTTACATTCTTGTACAATTTTAAGCAAGCGTCTCGCTAAGCGTTGAAAAGCTTTGTTATTGGGATCAGATGAAATAATTGTCTCTGCATCCCGATATGCCTCCTCGAATTTTTCTAATGCTTTTAGTGCTAGACATCTGTGATACAATGCGTCGTTACAACATAGCTTTAACGCACTGTTGCAGTCTTCAATCACTTTTTCGTAATCGCTCAGGTCTGAATATACAGCAGCTCGATTTCTGTAGTAGAGTCCTTTTTCAAGATCTTTCTTTTCTAGTTTCAGTGCGTTCGTGTAGTGACTTAATGCTTCTGACAAATTGTCTTTTTCATGCTCATCGACACCCTTCTCGTTCCATTTCTGTGCACTCATAACCGACTTCCTCATGGTGAAATAATTCTGCAACACAAATTATATAATGTTGCATTATATGTTTTAACATAGAAAGAGTCTGATATTTTATATCTCTTGATATATGTATTATCTTAAATGCAAAAAGCATACAAGATAAAATTATTACTAAATAATTATATGCATGCATGTGAAAAAACATATGTATAATGGGTCAAAAATAAATGCACAATTCAATAATAACAATGTAATTTCTAGTGAGACCTGCATGTAAATTGTAATCAGTTGTTGCAATAACTTATATACTAGAAAGTTGACTTTCTAGTTGAACAACGGAAAATAACAGAAGTCAATAATTGAAGTCATCATTCAGCGTTCGTTCTCAGAATTTCTAGAAGTTGTGCATATTACAATTAGACAATGTGGAACCATCCAGACGACTTATGACGCTACATGCACATATTTTATTATGTCTTAATGCGACGGATATGCACTTATATAGGTACGCTTTGCTGCAAGAATCAGGGGTAATTTACATTCCTCCCTTTTTTTGCGTCGAAAATTCAACTTCCCTGACTAAAGAGAGTCTGAGAAAGGCGAGCGAATTACCTGAGACGCGCGATAAATTTATGCGTGAGGATGAATCTCATTCCATCGACATTCTTTTTTACATGAAAAAATGATATCGTCAACGTCAACCGAGCATTTCTTTTTCAGTTTAATATATCTCGAGTTCTTTGTTAATTTCTTGAGTTATTCATGATTTCATGTGCTCTCGTGTGGTTTCTTTTCTCGATTTTTACTACGTATCTCAGTTTAATAACCTTTGTTATATTAGTTGCTTTCCATTTATATCAAAACTGAAATAATTCTCACTTGTGACGTCATAACTCAGTTAAATGCACGTTCTTTTTGCATGCTGGCAAGTGAGATTCAACTGCGTTTTTATCCACAATCGAGACCATGTGCTTTAATGAATCTAATATAAACTCACATTAAAAGTGAGGCTATGGACCTGTATTATTGTGATAGCTTTTACCTGAGTATAAAATACTCACATAACTAAGTGATTCATGTAACTTGAGTGTAAATGGAAAGCAACTATTGTTGAACATTCGTTCGGGCCGTCGGTGAAACAAAACAGAATGTAAATTCTTTACCTGTCGGACAGGTTCCTCTTTGTAACGAATCTTTCGTGCTGCTCGAACACCTTAGCTTTCTCTACTTTTCAACTAATCGACCTTTCAACGAGTGTAACTACTTAAATAAACCGGCAAGCAGTAATGTCTGACTGAGGGCCTGAGAGCGCGAATCGCGGCGTATACAAGTCACAGCGCGACGACTTATTATAACCACGTGACCGGCGACCGGCGCCGCGGCGTAGTAAATGAGGCACGTCGATGCATGTCACGTGACTTTCAAAAGCGCGGGCTCGACATACATATGTTTAGGTGCATTTACAGTATTTTTTATATGGAAAAATATTAAGAAATGTAGGAGTTATGACTAGTTATGAGTCATCTCTTCGCGCGCGCGCTTGACTACGGTGTACCTAAAAAATGGTGCGTTCGGGAAGACGCTATTAGTGCTATTTGCTTATTCTATCCTTGTTTTAAGCTGGCCACACACACTTTTTCGTAACAGTAACAGTAGGATTTCGACCAATCGCGTTGCTCGATTCGAAAACGTACGGCCGTACGTTCCCGAATCGAGTAACACGATTGGTCGAAATCCTACTGTTACTGTTACGAAAAAGTGTGTGTCCGGGCCCTTACACCTGATGAGCGATAAAGATAAAATGATGCAATAGCGCTAATAGCGCGCTTCCCGAACGCAACCCTCTAGTATAGCTCCTGTACGGCGTTTAAATGTATTCCCCACAGGTTGACGTTCAAAAATTGTAAAAATGTTTAAAATTGTGAAAGTTATAGCACTTATGCTAGGTCTACAATGCGAGTCGCAAAGTCGTGGGTCGCAAGAATTGACCAATCACAGTCGAATTTGAGGAGAATAATCGACTGTGATTGGTCAATTCTTACGACTCACGACCTTACGACTCGCATTGTAGACCCAGCGTTAGATCCGAAGAAGAACCAAAGGTAAGAACCAATCATATTAAAGAATCACTGACCGCTCACTCAACAGTTGTGTTTCCTGATGCGGCCTGCGGCCAATCAGTATTGGAACGCATCCACGATGTATGTATATGTACATAGATAACTTTTTAGGATTTTTATCTGAGAAAATTACTCTTTTTTCGTTAAGTTGTCCAGACTGCCTGATAAATTTCGTCTTTTGTATTTTTGGAGTAGCAGCCAGCAGGTATCCGTCAATCTCAATAATCACACTGGCTTTCGAAGAGGAGGAAGACATTGTTTACAAGATCTTGACAATTTCTGAAAAAAAAGTAAGCAATTTTTGATATACGTTTACGTTAATCCGCTCATTATTCTCATTAATTCTCAACCGTGATCTGCGACCACGTAATCGTTTTATACTGTCTGTTTTATTCATTCACGAACCGGTGCGTAGTGGCGTTAACGCTATCTCCCGCTAAGCCTAACCTAATCCTAAGCTCCTTTATATTTATGTTACATCAAGATTATAATTCAGAAAGCGATAGCAATTTGTTGATCTAGATTAATCAGCTAACTGATATCTCTTTAAGTAAATTGATATAACGATGTCAACATATTTTGTGCTAGTAGTATTTTAATCTGTTTTAAGGGCAATTGTTTTAGAGATGTATTTGTTTACAGCAGGATATAATATTGAGACACGTACTTGTATTTATTTCATAAGTCGCATCTATTTTCTATTCATATGTATAAATGTTCTAGAATATGCAAGTAACATGATGTTCTTTTTTCGTTAATGTTTCAAGTAATACTACGTTTTATTATAATCTTCTCAGAAATGCCAGATATAAAAGTTACACCACTTGGGGCTGGGCAGGATGTTGGACGAAGTTGCATCCTGGTCTCCATGGGTGGCAAAAACATCATGCTGGACTGTGGAATGCACATGGGGTTCAATGACGAGAGACGCTTCCCAGACTTTTCCTACATAGTTCCAGAAGGACCTGTGACCAATTATATCGACTGTGTCATTATCTCTCATTTTCACTTGGATCATTGCGGCGCTCTTCCATATTTTACAGAGATGGTAACGTAACAACAAGATTCATATTTCATAACAATTTCTATTGTCATCTTCTTGCCGTCCACATCTCTTTATTATACATCTCTACTGTAATCGAAAAATACAGGTAGGCTACACTGGACCGATTTACATGACACATCCGACTAAGGCTATTGCGCCAATCTTGCTGGAGGACATGAGGAAAGTTGCGGTCGAACGCAAAGGCGAGAGCAACTTTTTCACATCGCAGATGATTAAAGACTGTATGAAGAAAGTTATCGCCGTTACGCTTCATCAGTCCGTTATGGTCGATCCAGAATTGGAGATAAAGGCATACTATGCCGGACACGTTCTCGGAGCAGCTATGTTTTGGATTCGCGTAGGATCGCAGACCATCGTATATACAGGAGATTATAATATGACGCCGGATCGGCACTTGGGTGCTGCATGGATTGACAAATGCAGGCCGGACTTATTAATATCAGAGTCGACGTATGCGACCACAATTAGAGATTCGAAGAGGTGTAGGGAAAGAGATTTTCTCAAGAAAGTACGTTTCGGACTCATTATTGATAACAATTTAATTAATTTTTCTTGAACGATTTTTTGAGAAGATATGCGTGTTTCAGGTACACGAATGCATCGACAGAGGCGGAAAGGTGTTGATTCCCGTATTCGCTCTCGGTCGTGCCCAAGAGCTGTGCATACTTTTGGAAACTTATTGGGAAAGGATGAATCTAAAAGTACCAGTTTATTTCGCGCTTGGTTTGACCGAGAAGGCCAATAATTATTATAAAATGTTTATCACATGGACTAATCAGAAAATTAAGAAAACGTTCGTACAACGGAACATGTTTGACTTTAAGCATATAAAACCGTTTGATAAAGCGTATATCGATAATCCAGGTGCGATGGTGGTGTTCGCCACGCCAGGAATGTTACACGCTGGTCTCTCCCTGCAGATATTTAAGAAATGGGCGCCTAATGAATCCAACATGGTTATTATGCCGGGTTTTTGCGTGCAGGGTACCGTGGGCCACAAGGTTTTGAACGGTACACGGAGAATAGAGTTTGAGAATCGGCAGATCGTGGAGGTAAAGATGGCCGTGGAGTACATGTCCTTCTCCGCTCATGCCGACGCAAAAGGAATAATGCAGTTGATACAGTATTGCGAGCCGAAGAACGTTATGCTGGTTCACGGGGAATTCGCTAAGATGGAGTACTTGAAGGAGAAGATCAAACAAGAATTCGGTGTTAGTTGTTACAATCCTGCAAACGGTGAAACTTGCATTATCACTACCACGTCCAAAGTTCCGGTGGATGCTTCTCTAGCGTTGCTGAAAGCCGAAGCGAAGAGATACTCAGCCCTGCCACCTGATCCGAAGAGACGGAGGCTGCTTCACAGTGTCCTGATGTTGAGAGAAGATGGTGTCTGTCTCGTAGATGCGGATGAGGTAATATTTTCCGCATAATTGTTTAATTCGACCGCTATTCCTTTTACTTACATATTTAAATAACAATTGTTATATATATTAATTGATTGGTTTTGTTTTTATTAGGTTGCAAAGGCTGCAGGTATCACGAAACACGTGGTCAGATTCACGTCCACTGTACAAGTAAGGGATCCCGGCCCGGCGCACGCTACTACCTTAAAGCTATTGCAGCCATTGAAAGAAAGACTATCAGGATGGACGGTTCAATTAACGGATGGCTCCATATCAGTCGAGTCCGTTTTGGTAAAAGTGGAAGGAGATGAAGATGATCAAAAGAGTGTTTACGTTTCATGGACTAATCAGGATGAAGATTTGGGTAGCTACATTCTCGGGTTTCTGCAAACGATGTTAAATTAAGAAAACGGGGAAAGTTGCTGTCGAACAAGAAAATTTCGACCTGTGATACTAAAATGTGGTTTGCATTATACCATCGAATGAACGATTGTAAATCTATTTTGCATCATAATGCTGAGGTAAAAATATATTTTTCAATAATACAAAGTTAAACATTAGATGACGGTTATATATTATTTTTTTTATGTTTTGGACGTTTGTATTCACCTGAATAGAATAAGACAACAAATATATAGAACTGCAGAACAACTAAATATGAAAGATATCGTACCTGTCATGCATTCTTTTAGTTACCTAGATAATGTCCATCCTAGAAAGGAAGTAGATGCACGTATTGTTCAGAAATATGCTGTATATAAACGTAGTATAATAGTTTTATATTATGTGTATCATGAAGCTGATAAATATCTCTAATTTTTGGCTATTTTTCGAGAATGATGCTCATTGTCTCTCTTTACTATTTGCATCTTAATGAGTCGTTGAAATCGGCGATGCTTGTTTTATAAAATCAACAGGGGGAAATAGCAAAAGTCAATTACGAAAATCGGTCGAAATTGCAGAAATTCATTAGTTTTACTAATATATGATATTGTGAAAACAATTGTTAGCAATATATATAGTTAAATGTTATCGTTTTTAAAATAATGTATAGTTTATTAATAACTTGAGATAAGTAATTCATAATGTAAAAATGATAGTCCGAAGGTCCTATTAAATTTGACCTAAAAGTGCAACTTTTAGAATAATATACTTAAACTAGTCTGGTAGATAAATCAAAATGTACATCCATATTTTATACTTTAACTACATAATATATATGTACGTATGTATGAGCATCAATAAATAAATAAATAATGATATTTATTTAAAGGCGTTATCCACAGTTATTAATAGATGAGTGAAATAAACAATTTTTCGAGATTATATAATATTCAGCATCAAGTAAAACAGTAAACTTTTATTAACTATGAATATGTTTTCTAGATACAAAACGGTAAATAAGTACGCAGTGTACTAAACATACATGCCTCTTACAAAACTCAGTACAATAACCCTATTCTTTTTATGCAACCAATCGATTACATGGGTGAATAAAGAACTCTTTAAGTGTACTATTAATGTCTAACACAGTACTTTTAAATATTCATGCAAATATTAAAAAAAAAAATCAGATTTGAAGGAGCTTTTTACTAGAGTATATAGCTACTCCAATAACAACGCGGAACATTTTGGCTTGTCCAACTAATAAACGTCTGTTTGAAGCGTAATTAAATATGAATATAAATAATTGCAAGCATCAGTTTCTTTTAAATGCCCTTAAAATTGTTCGGTAAACTTGAACTTTAAACATGTTCTGTTAAATTGTTAAACATGTTCTTAGATCTGATAATAAAAGTCTATATGAACTATGTGAAAATCCGTCTTATGTATCCAAGTACTTGCTTTACAATCGTTGGGCGCAATTAATTTCAGTTAACATTTGTATATATATATAAGACTGGCTCGTTCAAACTTTCGACTTACTTCATTATTGCACGTGAAACGAATAACAAATTTGAACTTGTATACAATGGAACAACATGAAGATCGCGTTTAGTTTTACAAATTTGGTGTATTGTGTTCGCTATCGATAACAAAAAATGCCGTATATACTTTATATCATATTATGCATATATAGTATATTTATATATATAATTTCTGGTCCATGCGTCTAATAATAAAAAAAGATGTTAAACACTAGTAACAGTGTGACTCAGAAATAATATCAGAATCAATATCATTATTAATAATGAATCATGAAGTCATGGAATCCATTAATTAATTAATTAATTGTACAATTTTTTTACGTTACAAGAACACATCCCTCAAATGTTATGTCCCTATACGTCTCATAACAGAATTAAAATTTATAAATTGTTATAACTCATAGATCCTATAAACAATTAATATCGGTAATTCATAATGCACAATTTCGTGATAACCTTTACATCGTGTATAGCTATTTATAATTATATAAATTATATAACCATCACATACGCAAATATTTCAAGATTTTCCATTTAATCGCTACGAGTTTAATTATTTATATTTTCTCCACATAATAAAATATGATATTTTTTTACAATAAACATTATCCTTAATATTTTCACTTTATATTAGTCTTCTGAGTAGCAAAGTATGCCATTTATACCTATATAGCAATGCTGCGTCCGCTTTTTCGCATTTGCGCATCCCACGTTTTTAACCACCAGTATTCGCACTGCACTAGCGTAGTTTATTTTTCGAAGTTATTTTTTTCCTGAACCACCCTGAAAGATCATATTAATAGAATGAATAAAATGCATTGGTATAATCGTTGGTAATACATTAAAATATATAAAACAACACATTCTCTAAATAACCTACATAATTTATTCTTCCGTGTATTGCGTGTAATAGACGAATATCATAGATAATAAGTTATAACAAAATATTGCATATCAATTAAATCTCCAAAAATTTGAATATCTGTCTAATAAAGCAATCGGGAAGAACAATTTGAAATCTGTGAAAGATAGCGCATAATAATGTGCATTATTAGGTAAGAAATATATTACATAGTCTACTAAAATTTTTGCGTTATCTTTCATTCTTTTAAATCTGATGCACAACTGAACAAAAATACATGCTTTTTAACCATGCATTTAACAATCAATTAATAATTATAAAGCATACATATACCCAAAACCCATTAACTTAAGCCTTAAGCTAAAAAAAGCGATTTATTTATTTATAATAATAATACATTATAAATAGATAAATAATAGAAAACTCCATCACCTTATTCTAAAAAGCAATTTCAAAGAAAAATACTTATTAGAGCCATAAATAAATAACAGAAAGTTTATTTTATGTTAAATAGCAGTTTACGAGCAATATATACATATATAGCACACTCACAAAGTAATAAATAAAAGAAGCAAAAAATAAGATAAATTATTAAGATGTTAGTGAACTAACGATGTTAGTCTCTACATTATCTATATCGGTTAAATCAGATATTTTAGATTAACATATACATATTCAACATTGTTATCATCATTGTTAGTAGCATTCCATATTCATTTTTTTATTTATCAAGAAGTATTATTGCAATTAAGCGACGAAAAATATTTCAATTAGAAAACAACGTATGAAACATACATATATGAAACATTAAGTCGAACGTTTACTGTAGCCTTTAATGCTATCACATCATTATATTAATATCTTAAGCTCACAAAATCCATAAAAAAAAAGAAAATAATGGATGATGTATGACAGCAATGAGAAAAATCATATTAAATATCGTTATAAAAAATAATTATGAATTGTTACAGAGATTAATAGGTTTAATAAATATATTTCTCGCGCAGTGTATCCTTTACCCCAGTGTTTGTGCTGATAAAAATTTTCTTGTGTGTAACTATATACATTTCTGGATATCTATTTCACGTACATTAGTCATTATTTTTCTAAATTTACATATATATTTCTCTACATACTAATCAATGTAGTCATATGAAATTTTATATCCTTTTGCAAAAGCAACGTGTCTCAACTATTTACCTTGTTCAGACATTAATATTTACACATTATACACATATAATGGATTTAACAGCCAGTTTCGCGCGTAATCGGTCAGGCGTTAAAGATGGGAAGAGAAATTATTTTTCTAGCCATATATTGTGCCGGGATACAAGATGCAAAATATATTCGCAATAATATATAGTCACAAAATAAAATATAAAGCCAACAATAGCCACTGTGCATGTTTTTGGAACATATCCATACATAACGCGTATGTGGATATAGTATAAAATTTTACAAACTAATAATACCATTTTAAAAATATAAAATATCATATAAATTATTTAATTTATACGATATTTTATACGGTTTTAAACAATCACATATATTTACAAAATTAGAATTTTAAATCTCATAAATAGAACAAATTCAAATATAAAAACTTAATTATAATTAAGTAATTATAATTACAACAATAATTGTAATTAAGTTTTATCTTATAATATATAAAACATGATGTCTAACACTTCTCACACCAACATCAAACATCGAAAAAGGTTTGCTCTAAGTAATATGTTCCAAATAATAAACATAGATTAACAGTACTATTAATATGGCCTACGTTTACTGTGTGACATATTAAATGAAGTTTTGTAATATGTATTATGTATATAGATTTGTTCTATCATGTCTTTCCTTGTCTTTGAATAAATAATATACTGTTCGGGATATATTTCCATTTCATTCATATAAGTTTTAGAATATTTATGATTTATGAAATTAAGAAATTATTTGCTTGTATAATCAGTCACTTCTTACATTTACTTGTATATAAAAAAAATGATTTTAACAAGTTTATATAATTCTGAACGTAACATTTCCATTTTTTAAATAACAATACTCAGAATATCTAATCTTTCCTAATAACTAGTACAATAACTAGTATGCCAGTATGGTTAATGATAACGATTAGCTGCATTTCAAATTCTCAGAAATTTCTTGCTGCATTTTATGAGGTAAAAGAAAAAAAATATGCAAATACAAAAATTGAAAATAGTGCATTTATAAATATGAATGTAAAAGTTTAATGCCACAACATAATGTGTGTGATGAGAAACTAATTATCTGTAAAATAAATTATACATGATAAGACTTGACACATGAATTGCTAGCGGTAATTCTACTATTAGAATTTTCCGAAAGGCTAGGAGGAAACATTTCAGTATCTCATCTTTAGATTTGCATACCTGCGAATCTGCGCCGTTTTGCCATGGTTTTCTTAGTGGACTGTCGAAACAATCAAAACAGTTAAATCGTTATTGATCACAGAGCAAGCATTTGAACAACAAAGCTATTTTTTTTTTTTATAAATCGCACAACTGTGATGACCCGTGGTCGTTTTGACAACATTTACACATGTCAAAACTTTACAATGGACAAACACTGGGACAAAGATTACTGGTACAAACAAGACTTTCAATTTGGCTTACTACCAGATTTAAGAAGGATGAGAATGTCCTTCCATCAGCTAGTTAGTCAGCTAAAACTTAATCCTATGCGACTTAGCATTATCATGTTACAATTAAAAATTATGTTTTCGTCGCTTAAAATCTAAAGAGATTGTATCAAACTAAGCACTTCTGCCAATGTGCATAAATATTATAAATTTTAGATATGGTTTTAGATATATAGTGTGGAAAAATGCTGCAAATATATAATATGATATCAATACGTTCGTAGTTTTGTTTTATGAAGCATCGTTTTCACGTTTATAGTGCATATTTTACCTAATTAATTGCAAAATAAAAATACTATCTATATCTAGGGACGCCGAAAGAATGATATTTTTGTGTAAAGCGAAAAATTAAATTTACTTGGACAAAATGATGCTAAAACATAGCACTAGTATGTCCATGTAAATATGAATCTCGTGATATTTGTGCGGAAAATATGTTTATAACAGTAAATTACATCGCGTGTTATTCTATGACATGTTATCATCCATATGAAAAGATTGATCTATAAAGTGCAAAGTTTACAAAATCAATTTTTATCTAATTTTACTGTACTATATCACATGCCACTTAAATGTACGGACACGTTTCCTTACTGAAAGCCACAATAATAGTGTAATATGTTGGATACAAAATCAAACTACGCTATAAAGTACTGCTTCAAGATACAAGCTACCAAAAATAATATATTGCTTTAATAGTAGCAAAGAAATAATAACGGAGGACTCAGTATTATCACAAAGAATATCTATCAAAGCTAAAAAGTATATGCATTTCGTAAAAGACGGTTATGGTAAAAAGTACGTTCTTTAAAGTTATACTTTGTTGCTCTGTTCAGTTAATTTCTCTATACTCCTGTTGTATTTCAATGTATCGTATCAAAAGATAAACATAAGCGTTCGTGTCACAATTAATATAATTCAGATATAAGTTAGATAAATAAAATACGAAATATGTACTTTAAAATTAAAATAGATAGTACTTTAGAATTAAAATATTCTTTGTAATATTGAGTCCTAATAAATGTGTTTCACATTTCGATAATCAACTGAAGTGCACCTATTACAGCAATTGAGCCAGTAACACTTTTTTCTGTTTCAGACTTATAAGTTTACCTTCCGCTTTTTCTTGTGCTTTTTATGTTGCTGGCCAATCATTGAGTTCCAATTAGCCTGTGTGTTGTGATCGGTCATATGACAAGATTTGGAGGAGTATTTTGTAGTAAGGGAGTTGTTCTCAATTTCTTGTTCAGATTGACTGACCAAATTGACAGGTTTGGTAATGGAACAGTTTGTAAACTCTGCATTCTTGAGCAGAGTATTTTCTAACGCAGCTATCAGAGCCTGAGACGCTGGAGGAGGCTGTATTCCAGATATATTATTATCTGACCGTTTAAAGTTTAAAGGAATCAATTATGGAAACGGCAATTTATTGAATCGCGTTTTTTCATATAATGGTGAATATAATTCTCCGGTAAAAATTTGCAAAATTGCCGTTCCAATAAATTATCCAACAATCTTGTGATCTTGAAACACAGTAATCAAATTGCTAGTACGGATACAATTAAAATATATTTCGATACTTTTCAAAAAATGAGACAAAATTTCTTAAATATATTAGAAAGTAATGTTTCTTCCTAATAATATACTTTAGAAATATCAGCAAATTAATCACTGTGTCGATTAAATGGCTGCAGTATGTAATATAAAAATTGCAGCTGGAATATAATTCAATCTGATGGCGATTATATCAATGCTTTCAACGTGATATCTACAAATATCTTTCAAATCTGTAACTGAGTATTTGTCACGTACACTCTGATTCCGTTGCATGATTGTATTCAGGATTTTTAATAATTATTGATGTAGTAGTGTTACTTTCATCAATACTTATGTACATACATTGTATATAATAATTATATATAATAATATATTATATATAATGCAATTTCACAACTTTTTAGAGAGCAATTGTTCAATTTAAAAATTATTTTACCTACTGTTATGTAACACATGAAAGATATTAATTTTTTGCGATATATAGATGATGTTATAAAAATTAATAACTCAATATTATATAGTGAATAGTGTTTTATATATAAATTACAAAAATAGTTTTTAAGATAAATTTAAATTTCTTAGTCTTACGATTGATATAAAATTTAAGATAAATTAAAAAATTATTTTTTAATTTGTTATATCTTTTTCTCTGTTCACAAACTCAGTTGTTACATTAAGAATTAAAATATAGTAATATAGGATTAAAACACGATTTACCGTGCTTTTATACTGTCAAGAGAATGATCAATTTTGTAACAACATTTATATGCGCAACTGCTTGATCATTCAGTTATTATATATACAAAAGAACAGCAAATCACAATCAGGCAATAACTTATTAGTAATTATTGGCAGATCTTTCATGATTAGTGAAGTATCATATCAGTGTTTTGCAGCATTATACAATATCTAATGATTTTATAATACAAAACTTGATGTTATTATTAAGATAGCAAAAGCTATGCAGTATTTCCGATAGAGAAAGCACACCGTATAAGTAAGAATTAAATAAACACTTATTAACAGATACTAACCTCGGACTGAAGAGAATCCGATGTGGGGGGACCGTTTAGCATAGACTGCTCTGAGCTGCTACAGCCGCCACAAATTTCGTTCTGGAATTGATAAAGCAATATCTTTTTATATTTTCCCATTTTATTCTAAATATATATCGCTATAAAAAGCTATATTAAAAAAGTACCTTGAGTTGAGACACTTCCTGTTGAAGCTGTGTGACAAGATTTTTTTCGTATACTAAACTCGCCTCACTAGTTTCAACAAGGGAACGCAATTTTGTAACTTCGGCATCCAACGTTGCCCTCTTATTGCATTCTACTTCCAATTCTTGCGATAATCGAGCCTTTTCCTAAAATAACAATAAGAAAAAAATAGGTCAACATCAGTATTCTTTATCACGTATATGTATTCCAATACAGAATTAAAACAGTGAGATTTACCTCTTGTAATTGTTCTAAAGTGACAAGCTCGTTGCCATCTCCACAAGATGTGGCTCTCTGTGCTTTAAGTAATATTTCAGTACGATTCTGCTCTGCACGATCTTCTAATTCTTTTATCCTCTGTTTGAACTAGAGGAAGGATCGTAGAATAAGACAAAAAATATATTTTAATGTCTCAGTTGAAAGATCTCTGTTTTCAAAATAAATATTTATATAATCTTTACCTCTTCATTTGAGATTAATTTCGCTTGCATATCATTAAGTTCTACTCTAAGGTTCGCCACTTCATTCTCACTTTGCCGAAGTTGCGATTGCCATTTTGCTTCCTCGGATTCTATATAACTTTGTAGTCTATTAAGCATACCTTCCTAAAAAAAAAAAAAAAATTAAATAAAGAAGTTATGTTTTTGTAATAAGGCATTACCAAATTCAATGAAATACTCACCGTATCATAGATAATCCGTTTATAATGTGAAACCATGCCTTGCAGATTTTTGTTCTGTCTCTCCAAATCTGGATTTATCTGATCCGTGTTTTTCTGTTTTAATTCATTTAGAATAGTAGATATTTTATCTTCAAAAGATTTGAGCCATTGTTCATGTGTTTTCTCAGACACATTAATCTCGGGGAATATCCTCTGTAGAAGTGCCTTAGTTATTTCTTCTTGTTCTTCTTTAATTTTTTGTGTTGCCTCCTGATTAAAGAAACATAAGCAATGTTATAAAAACTATATCATATAAAAAATATTTATTAAAAAATGTTAATTTTCCAATATCAATAAATAATCAAATATTTATATTTTATACATAACATATTTTAATAAACAATAATCGCAATTGAAATAATTCAAAAAAAATAATAATAATGTAATTAAATCTTAGTGTATCACAATATATAGTATTAGTTTTTCGTTAAATTTCTACTATTTAGCAAATAATAATGTGTGATGTGCTCCAAAAGCAACAGGTTTCGAACTTGATCATGATTCTCGTACAACATATGCTTAATTTCATAAGAGAATAATTGGAAAATTAAAGATCATGAATGAATATGAGACGATAATACTAACTCGTTTCAGGAACATATTTCAATAAAATATTTCAAGAATAATATTAAGAATTATAGCAAAGAAGCTTACTTTAACACCTCTCTCATCATTGGACTTGGCACGCAACTCAGCAGCAGAAAGAGCTTCCATTACTTTCCAATTCTTTGTGCGTAGCTCCTGTGGTATAGAAAAGCCGATATGTAGAAAAGTTAGAAAAATAAATTTTCTACATTATTATAATAGATTATAACTTGTTTATAAGCAGCATAACAAAGAATTAGATCGTTTCAATTATATGAGAAGAGAAAATAAAATATAGTAATGAAAGTAAAGATATATATTAATGTGTGTTATATAGAAATTTATTAGATTCAAACATGTAACAAATATATTTTATAAAATCAAACAAAAACTATTTTAGAATAATATGCAAAGAACTTACGTTATTTTTAGATTTTTGGGCCTCCAAAGCTTCTTCTAGTTGCCTGATAAAACATTGATGTTTGTCTGCATCACTTTCTAGTATATGTAACCGTTCATCTATCTTATTAAGCTCCTCTTCCTTGTGCGTTAACTCAGCTGTTAATTTTTCTAGTAGAGCCTTTTCCTCTCTAAATTTTTAGAGAATAAATATATCACGGGAATTAATTTTTAAGTTAAATATAGCAATATACAACGAAAAAGTTGTTAATAATACATACTATGTTAAATAGATTTTTTATAATTTTATACATATATACATACAAATTGGCATGTTGGGGTTCAGTAGTAGTGGCTAATACTACATCCGTATGGACTTTCTTCTCTTCGTGCTGTTGTTGAAGCTCTTTTTGTTTCTCTATAGCATTCGCAAGCTGCACAGACATAAAACATATTTTTTAAAATCTTTAAAATCTATATTTTATATGTAATGTCTTGGATACTAACGTTAGTAATTTTTTCTACCATACAATATACAATTGTTAGAAAAATCCAAACTAAAGATGACTAAATAATACCTCAGTACGCAGTCTATCGTTTTCTTCTTGCAGTTTCACAATTCGAAGATGCTCATCTCCCGCCTTTTTCTCATTGCTCTGTAGTCTATTTATTTCGGTTTGTAACGCCTTTATTTCACTTGTCATTGCATTGGAGTCTCTAATCTGATTACGAGCCATACCTAATTCCATCTGTGAATCTGCTAACTTTTCCTGTAGTGTGTATAGCTTGTTTTGATACTGGTTCGCATCGTTTTTTGCTTCTTTCAAACTACATTCCGACCTATCAAAATCAGTCTTTAGCATATCCAACTTCTTTTGTACGGAATTTAATTCGGATTCCATACGTGTGACTTGCATGCTGGATTGTTGCAAATCGTTCTGTATGGCATAAAATTTATCCTGCGATCTCTTTAGTTCGTCTTCCTTGCTACTCAATGCATTTTTTAGGGCTATAATTTCGGCCGCTTCTGAATTAGCTTCGTTCATCGTGGCTGACAGCTCTGATTTTAATTTCATTAGTTCTGTTTGAGCCTTGCTAAGTTCCACCTTTAAGGTAGGCGTTTCATTGGCTTCATTTTTCGTATGATTTAATTCAGCCTGCAGTGAGTTTACTTGTTTCTGCAATTCTTGTTCATGGCGATGTGCGTTTTTCAATCTATGATCTAAATCGGTGTGTGCACGATGAGATTCCTAGAAATTATCAAGAAAACACTTAATACTGGAAAAAAGCTAAGATTACTTAAGAACAACAAGGGATCATAGGTTCTCACCTCAAGTTGTCTAGCAACATCTTGTAGTCGATCGTTTGCTTCCTTGAAATGCTGTAATTGTCCTTCCGAATGCATCAATTGATTTTGCATTAATCCTATTTGCTGACGTAACATATCTATCTCTGCGGTGCTGCTATCACAGGTCGCTGCGAGCTCATTTTGCAGATCCTGCATCTCCACATGTTTCTGGGCCAATTGTGATTTCAATGCATTCTCATTATCGCGCATCTGAGCGAATTGCACTTCCATTTGCTTTCGCTGCGCCATCAACTCTTGCTGCAAGTGGCCCTGAGTCTGTCCTTGATCTTCTTGCAATTTGTGAATAATAGCGGCATCCTCGTTTACTTTGGCCTGCAGTTGTTCAATTTGCCTAGCAAAACCTTGCTTCTCTGCAACGTGACTTTCCAAAATATGTTGCATTCGGGTATGCAATGTCTGAGTCTCCGTGATTTTGGCGTTCAATGATTCCTCAAGTTGTCGAATGTTCGCCGACAGTCTAGATCTCTCTGAATTAAATTCAGCTCGCAAATCCTTCAACTTGTTTTGAACGGCCACGCTCGCTTCATGCTCGTCGACTAATGCTTTCTCTTTTTCCGCTAATTGTTTTTTCAACTTAATAACGGGGTCGGCGCGACCTTCTGTCCACTCAGAATGCTCCAACGACGGATTGTCCTGCTGTTTATTCAAGAGTTGATTCGTGAGGATCTGTATTTCAGATCGACTAAGCTCTGCTTTCTGAATACATAGCATCAATAATTCAACATTAACGGCATCCCCATCTAAAAAAAAAAAAAATTGTTAAAAATATCAGGCATTAAAATTAAATACTGAAATTTTTATAATAAAAAATTCTATATTATTATATATTAAAACTGATAAAATTGATAAGTTACTAAAATATCAATTAATATAAAAACATATAAACACACTTTTTTAATATAATTTTTATGTTTATGTTTACTTCAACTAAAATAATCTTTACAAATTATCACAATTGTTCAGAAATACAATGAGGAAATTATTGCTCGTACTGCAGGGCTACCGGTACTAAGTGCACGGACATTGACCTTTGTATGTGTGTATGTATGTGTGTGGAGGGGGAAGTGATCCTACCTCAACCACATTCCAAAGCACTTCAAAGGAATTTGCTTGACTTTGCTTTGGTCAGATAATTCACATAACTTACTCGGATTTTTATTAGCCTTTTTAACTTGCATTATGGTATAAAATAATTTATTTTTAGAGAAAATTGTATTGAAAAGTAATATATATTATTAACTAATGTAGGTATTATCGATCAATTCTCTACAATAATCGCAATCTCATTATCGTATAACTGTATTGAATTCTTTTAATTTATTTAAATATTACTATAACATATTTACAGTATAGAAAATAGTTAAAAAATAATGAAAATATATTCAAAAAATAATTATAAAATAAAGATACAAATTTGTGTAAATATATATTATTAAATCTTTCAGTATAAGTTGTAAAGATGAAAACTGATAGGTTACAGTACAGAGAGAAATGAGGTCGTATTTCCAATCAATTAAATTGCAGGCTATAGAATGTCATGACAGGTTAGAAATATTGATTTGCTCTCTGTAAGAAACACACATAGATTTGTATCATCTTTGAGCGCTAGATTCACGCTTTTGTCATTTGCTATTGAACTCACGAATAAGTAAATTAGATCCTTTTACAAATAATGACTTACCGATCTGGGATAAAATGTCATTCTTTTTTTTCGTCTTTTTGGGTTCCCTATTTGGTAACTGTTGGACTACCTCCTTGACAACTTCCTTTACTTCCTTTACTGGTGTTTCCTTCTGCTGCTCCCTTATTTCCCTCATAGCTTCTTTATTAGCAGATGATGCATTAGTGTAAGTATTAGCGTCCTGTTTCTCATCTTTACTATTTTCATCTTTCTTCTTTACAGCATCCTTATTATTTTTCTTCGATTTGGTTGGAGTATCCTTTGGTGACTTGTTGACTTTCTCCACAGTCTCAGTAATCTGCTGAAGATTCTCCCTCTATTATATGTATATGTTACAGACACACATTGTTACTATACTACTACATTTAAATCGAGTAAAATAATAAGATGAAATTTTTTCATAAAACATTAGTATCCACGTTAATTATAATCTATGGCAATATAAAGATCATATTCATCTCAAACATTAATCTTTACTTGTGCAACTATTAATGTTCCGTAAGTCAATATGATTTCTGTTAGTCAAGAACGTTTGATGAATGTTTAATAAATATAAACATCCTTTCATGCACGTGTTAATTTTTCCAAATGATAGGAGTAAAGGGAATTAAGCAGTGAAGGAAGTAAACAGCACAATAGCAGATATGATAATAATCTTAAAAACAATTTTAATCAATATTTTAAGAAGTTACCTTGCTCGACATGATATTATACTTTCGTCTATTAAACTAAAAAATAAAGCAGAAAAACATGCAATATCCAGGAAATATGCAAGTAGTGCAAGATATTTTGCAAATGGCAATCACTCACACTATGACTCCGCACGAGTTCAAGGTCATCCTTTGGATGAATAAGATCAAAATGGTTAGCCTCTGCCAAGGAAGATTGCGAGGGATTTAATTCAGTCACAATGACTGATGGCTCGTCTTTATTTACGAGGATTGGCTTTATCTTTTCAGGTTTTCCTTTCTTCTTATTGCCTTTGTTACTCTCCTAAGAGTTTAATGCAGATGTATAATGTTCCCATATTATTTGATCAAGGAGGCAATGTCAAAAAATATCAAGTAGCATGCTTGGAAGATCCATGTTACATCATATAACAATGGGCACATATATAATAAATAATAAATCATATTATATCATGGTATTATGCTTCATATAATAATTTTGTTTAATTGAGATAATTAATTACGTCAAATTTTTTTTATTTTAATATCTTTAATCTTAAATGTGAAAAATATTTAATAGTAATATTTAATAATTATTAAGAGAAAAGAAGACCGCTATATGATACACAATCAAATAAGAATATAAGCCGTTTTCAGTCTAAGCTTAGATTTTAGGCAGTTCAATATTAATTTCCGTGTATATGTATTATTATAATACATATACGTATATATATTCCAACTTATTACTGCGCGCCGACTTGAAACACAGCTATTGGAACATTAAAAACCCTTTCCTCCCCGGAATTGAATCAACACGATTTAATCCATATCTAAAAAAGAGATTATCTAAACTGTAAAAAATTTATTGCCAAAAATATTACCTCAGCGCAGTAATAAATTGGAATACATACGTCTATGTGTTATAATAATACATATACACAGAAATAAATATTGAGCTGCCTGAGATCTAAGCTTAGACCGAAAACGGCTTATATTCTTATTTGAATATTTAATAATATTCAGTAATAAATTATTAGTTAGCAATTTAAGTCGCTTTTCACCTTATATTTATTTTGTCTTCTTGTTGAGCATATAAACCTGGAATTTACAAGTTTATTGCTGTTAATGCTTTTGCAGTATTTTCTTTATGATTTGAAGCAGCTTGTAAAATTACAAAATATTTAAAAAAATATATTCTGTTTTATACACAATTAAAGTTTGCTAAAGATTTGTAGAAATGCCCAATTTTCTCACATTATAACATTCTTCGTGCCTGGCTCTTTTATAATCTAGGTGATAAGGTAGTCGAGACTAAAGCAGTATCATTAAAATGCTGCTGCATATGTATGATGTGTGAAGTTATTTTTAGAAAATAATCTTGAACTTTCAGATTTACTTATCAATGGGACACGTATGCAAGAAATTATCAACTCGGGCTTTCAATCAAAATCACATTCTTAAACATATTTATTTAATATCTCAATTCACCTGCGTATGTGTGTTAATTCTTTCCAAACAACGATATATTCTTACTTGTAAGACCAATAATCTTTTGCTATACAATTTGATGTAATAACCTCTTACTTAATTAAAGATTTAATATTTTTATAACTTACCAAGACATCATTTATTTGCGTTACATTAAGTTGTTGAAAATTAATAAGCTTCGATTTTCGTTTAAAGCAATACTATAATATAAAACATAAGATAATAAGCCTACTAAAAACATCTTACAAAACAGAAATTACTTGTAACTTGTGGTTAATGAAAATTAACAAATGAAAACAGCAATCGAAAGCGACTTCAGTATGTGAAATGTTGGAATTGACATTAGTTCTGCCGTATTACAATTTTCTCTGCAAAAATAGAGCAGTCAAGTGAAATTTATATAAATCTTCCTAAAATATCTTTGCACGTTCTCAGATAAATCATCATGAATGAGAAACGGATTTTATTATTAATATATATTTTCGGAAATATATCTTCATATGAGGATTCATTTGCTGTAAGTTATTCGATGGTAATGCCCATTATTATATAAATGCATATAATGTAAGTTATAATAATTCACGAGTGTTAAAAATTATTGAATAAAAAATATTTATATTCTTATAAATAACGTATATAAACATGATAATGAACAACATGAAAATTTGCTTATAATTAAATTATCTAGTATTATAGACCTATATATATATATATATATATATATATATATACATATACACATATATATTCCATTATCCAGAAAAATTATTATCAAATAAGTTTTTTGGGTGAAGTGTTAAAGATAAATGTCAAATAACAACTATAACAATTCTGGATTATATGACAATAGAAGAAAAAAATGGAATAAAAAATGGAAGCTCCCTGTTCATAAGTCTTTTCTTTGCTAGGTAGATGTAATGATATACCATATTGTATGTCATCTAGGTTACCGTATTTCATGCATGAAAATATAAAACGTTCAAATCTTAAATGCTTCAAAGACAGCTTTATATAACCCTATTTTATTTTAGGCTCCACTTTAATTTTAAGCAGGCAATTATAATTATGACGCGTTTGTGTGATACAAAAAGCGGGTAAATATTAATCGATCAATGACCCAGGAGGATGACCGCGATCGCGCTTCTCTTATTTCATGTTAGAAAATTGACAAACGTTATTGCTACCTTCTTTTGTCTCATCATTCTACATTGTTAATATTTGAAGATTCACAACTGTGATAGAAAGAGTCCATCGATAATAGCCCTATTAGGGCACCTGCTTGGTATTTTTTTTTGATAGATTCTAGCCTTTTCAAATACTTAAATACTTAAGTCCTATGTATATCCATCCTATAATCAGAGTTGTACTAGCGCTCTATTTCGCATATTAAATCGAAAAGTTTACGATA